AGTGCTAATCGATCTAACCTGTCCATCAGATGTTTTTGTGGTGTGTTCGGGCCGCTAACGGGCGCCAGCGGCTTGTACGAACACCTGTGTTTACGCCCATTGTTATTTCTTAAAAGCCCGTTTTTGCTTGGCTGTTGTGCGAAAACGGCATACTGCAGCAATACAACGTGGAAAAAAATTACCGAAAGTGGGCCGGAACCGGCAACCGCACAGCCAGGCGTAGGCAGACCCGGCGTGGAGGAGGGGGGGGGGGGGGGGGGGCTGTGCGCCTCCTTGATAGCCGCCGCAGGCCCCGCTGCACCAGTGCCGCATGAGCCTCCGTGAGCGGTGCGCGTTCCGTCCCGGTCCGGGTTCCCAGGACACGTGGGAACATGCCGCCGCCGCTCCCAGACCTGGAGGCGGCAGACGGCCGGCGACAGCATGCTGGTCTCGGGGTGCAGCTGTACCGCACGGCACGCGGACCGTGCCTGGGGCCACGCACCCACCTTAACTGCTGTTGGACCTGGGGCGCGTCTAGGTCCAGCTGGACCCAGGGGCGGCCCGCACAATCCTGAGGAACCCAACTAAGGACCGTTTGTGTACTGGGTTGGGGGTTAACGAATACCGTACGATGCGCAACATCAACGTACAACGTGCAGACGTCCGGCGTGCAAAGTTCAACGTAAAACGTACAATGTGCTCCGGAAGTTGTGCTGTGGCTCCTCAACAATGGCTGCGGTTTTGGGGCGGGCCATCGAGAAGCGCCCTCTTAGGTCCATCAGCGGTGCCCCGCCTCAACACCGGTTTCCGTCCTGAAGTCGCAGCGTGCAAGGCAGTGGGCGTGGCGGTCATTGACCCGGTGACCTGCCCGCAGACATCGAGGCCATCGTGCAGTGCAGCACTGACCCGGTGAGCATCCGCTGCGCCTCCTTCTACCAGATGGCCACCATCCACGAGGCGTGGTTTCTACGAGACGAGGCCACTTTTGCCAGGAGCCCCGCCCGCCCCCGCCACCGCCATCCGCCGACAACCGTCCGCCTCGTGTCACGGCCGTGCCTCGCTCAACTACGGTTGCTGAGCAGCTTCAACCGCAGGTTCAGTTGGGCCGGATCACGGTTTCCAGGTCAGGTCCACCAGTCCCTCCGCGGAACCTGGTTACTCACCCGGAACCAGACGTCAGGTCGACTGAGCTGGGGCGAGGTCTCCGTGTGGTGCAGGCGGTCCCGCCCACTGCATCGTATGCATTACACACCATATGGTCCCTCGCCTCGACCGCCAACTCGGCCCATCAGCTGTCGGCCGGACCCCACTCGCGCCGCATAATTGCCTGGCTTGGTGGGCCGCGTCTGCGCTTCAGACCGGACTGCGGCCACAAGCTCCGTGTGGGTTGCTTCCGGCGGGCCCGCGCCCCAGCGCGCAGCCCGGGGGCCAGGCCGTGTGGCGGTACTGGTGCGAGGGCGGCCCCGTGAACCGCGCTCACGAGTTTGGGACGCTCGAGTAGACGGACGGGGGAGGGGGTCGGGCGGCGGCGGCCGCGCCCGGCTGGCGGTTGTGCTTCTGGAGCCGCGCGGCCAGTGAGCGAGCCGTTCAGTGCAGAGCAGTCAGGGGCGAGCCGTTCAGGGCAGAGCGGGCAGGAGCGAGCCGTTCAGGGCAGAGCGATCAGGAGCGAGCCGTCCAGGGCAGAGCGTCAGGAGCGAGCCGTCCAGGGCAGAGCGGTCAGGAGCGAGAGCCGTTCAGGGCAGGGCGGGTCAGGAGCGAGCCGTCCAGGGCAGAGCGGTCAGGAAGCGAGCCATTCAGGGCAGAGCAGTCAGGGAGCGAGCCGTCCAGGGCAGAGCGGTCTGGAGCGAGCCGTTCAGGGCAGAGCGGTCACGCTGCCTTCGGAACCGTGATGACGTGAGCTGAACCGGGGCCGTGGGGTTAGCAAACCGAACCGGCAGGCGTTCCCGCCCAGCTACGGTCACCGCCAGCGGCAGAGCTCACCACGGCCCTGGTTCGTATTCTGTCTCATCTTTCGTCGGCCGCCATCCGCCACTTCGGCAGCGCGCGGTGTTCGGCAATATATGGCCTCAGTTATTAGCAGGGGTTACGGGCACGGGACTGAACATGCGTCAGCCTGCCGCCCGCCAGCAGCGGCAGCCTCCCTCCGATGACGACCGCGGGCCGCATCACGTCACTGAGAGAACCCGGACGAACCCCCTCGACGGTCATCAGCGGCTCGTGGCGCAGACTACGCGTCAGCTGGTTCCCCAGCTGCAAAAGCGCGTTAGTTGCGTTGCTGTTTGGCAGTGTGTTAGAAGCGCCTTTGCTTCCGTTCAGCCCCTTAACTCTAATACCGGGTGTTTGGCATGTTTGGTGCTCAACGTATTTGCATGTCGAGGGAGATTGGGTTTGGCGCTATTTATTGCTGCGTGTTGCAGTTTAGACGCATTAACCGTCTTTGGCGAGTTCAGGAATCATCGGCCTCGGAGGCTGGGAACAGTACAGATCTGCTTCACCATACGGTGCATCACTCTTCGTCAGTTGACGCATCTACGTCACGGAGTCAATGCGGCTGAGTCAGTGGGTGCCATTTATCTCGTTTGTCACTTTATTTCGATAAACCGCTCGGCGTTCTGATATCCTATCTCACCATTCATCTCTGAATAATCCGCGAGCTAATGAGACGGTGTTGGTTTCCCGAGCCGTAATCCCGGTCATTTGCCGGCACATTGGGCTGGGTTCGGCGGCGGCCGCCTACTGCGGCCGGGTGTGACGTCAGTGGAGCGCGTCCCGCGTCAGACCGCGGCTCCGGCCGGCGGCGGCCGGGCGTGACCGGCGGGGTCGCGGCTGCCGCCCGGCCCGCTGGTCACGCTGCGACGCCGCGGTCGCCGCGCGGGGGTGCTGGTGGCAGCGAGCCGTTGCCGGTGCGATCCTGGGCGTGCGGCGTGCAGGCGTTCGCCACCGCCGCTCGTCAGCACACAGCTTTAGTGACGGGTGTCCCTCTCACGAAGCCAGTGGTACTGCATGCTGGCGGTGGCAAATGGCCTCGCGGGTTATTGCTGATATCTGCTGTTGGTGTCTGCTCCATGTTTCGCCGTTTTTTTACCGGGGGGGGGGGGGGGGGAGGGGGGAATAACCCACCTACTACTCTATCCGCTGCACAGGCCAACAAACGTAAATAATGCCATCCTCCGCTGCCCATAGCGCGCCGTCCTCAGTATTTATGACCTGGCCTGACTGCACGTCCACGACCCAGCGAGGCGCCGCTGACTGGAGCCCGTTATTTTGCCAAGATGTGCGAACTCGCTCACCCCTCATTAAAGACATCTTGACACGCGCGATGGCGTAACTAATGACTATACGGGTTGTCGAGAACGACGTCAACAACGCAGCTCTGTTGGCGACTCGATGCTTCGGCAGTCTTCCAGGATTTTATTCTTGAGGTGAGCCGACATTGGACAAACACTGCTTTGATGTACTGGCCTGGCCTCAAAGGGAAGAAGGTTCACAAATTCAATTGTTCGCCAATAAGTCACGTGACTCAGCACTACCCTGATCCAGAAGTCACGTGACCCCGCCAGTTCTCACTGTGACACTGCCGTACCCCCATCCAGTGATCGTGTGACCCTGGCTGGCCTTCACCAAGTGCCCCAAAATTGCACTTTTTACAGATACCAGGAAAACGTGGCAAACGAAAGGAAAAAAGGTATATTTACATCGAATCGTGACAGTGTCGCATGACGGTTAATTGGTGACCGCTGCGATCTATCAGAATAAGGTCCGAGAGCTCATCGGAATATGGAGACCGCGTGCATAAGGTGTCAGTCCCCTCACCCCACCCTCTCCCGGTACACGGCCCACTTTCTGCCCGTTCCCTGGCCATAGTTCAGGTGTGCCATCCACGGTGCTCTCCCCCATGCCGTCCCCCCCCCATGCCGTCCCCGATGCTGTCCCCGGTGCCGTCCCCCATGCCATCCCCGGTGCCATCCCCGGTGCCATCCCCTGTGCCGTCCCCGGTGCCGTCCCCGGTAACGTCCCCCATGCCGTCCCCGATGCCGTCCCCCATGCCATCCCCGGTGCCGTCCCCTGTGCCGTCCCCGGTGCCGTCCCCGGTAACGTCCCCGGTGCCGTTCCCTGTGCCGTCCCCGGTGCCGTCCCCGGTGCCGTCCCCCATGCCGTCCCCGATGCCGTCCCCCATGCCATCCCCGGCGCCGTCCCCGGTGCCGTCCCTTCTGCCGTCCCCGGTGACGTCCCCGGTGCCGTTCCCTGTGCCGTTCCCGGTGCCGTCCCCGGTGCCGTCCTCGATGCCGTCCCCGGTGCCGTCCCCGTCCCGTCCCTGGTAACGTCCCGGTGTCGTCCCCGGTGCCGTCCCCGTCCCGTCCCCGGTGCCGTCCCCGTCCCGTGCCTGGTAACGTCCCCGGTGCCGTCCCTCATGCCCTCCCCGGTGCCGTCCCTCATGCCGTCCCCGGTGCCGCCACCCGGTGCTCACGTGGCCCGGCCCAGACACGCCACCCGGTCGATAGCGTCCAGCCGTCTGGCCCCGAGACGGGGACGAAACGGAGATGGACGAGGCCGGCGGTGCGACCTTGCCCACCCCCGTCCCCCCGGCCCGAGAATCACTGATCGAGCGGCTCCCCTCACCTCTAGTTGGCGGCTCCCCCCTCCTCTGGTCAGCGGCTCCTCTCACTTCTGGTTGGGTGGCTCCCCTCACCTTTGGTTGGGTGGCTGCTCTCACCTCTGGTTGGGTGGCTCCCCTCACCTCTGGTTGGGTGGCTCCCCTCACCTTTGATTGGGTGGTTCCCCTCACCTCTGGTTGGGTGGCTTCCTTGACCTCTGGTTGGGCGGCTCCCCCTCCTCTGGTCAGGCGGCTCCTCTCACTTCTGGTTGGGTAGCTCCCTTCACCTCTGGTTGGGCGGCTCCTCTCACCTCTGGGGGCGGCTCCTCTCACCTCTGACCGGGCGACTCCCGTCGCCTTTGACCAGGCGGGACGCCGCACAGCTGTGTCATCTGGACGAGAGGTGGGTGTGGCCTGAGAGGCTGGCATGGCTTACGAGGCGGCTCTGGCCGGCGGAGTGGGTCTGGCCCGAGAGGCGGGTCTGGGCTGGGAAGCAGGTGTGGCCTGAGAATCGGATCTGGCCTGGATGCGTGTATGGCCTGAGAGGCTGGTCTGGCCTGGGAGCGGACCCGGTTTGCGGGTATGCCCGGCCGGCTGCCGCCCACCTCATCTCGCCATCTGGCCATGAAACGGCCGCCGGACGGATCGATGCGGGCCCGGTCGGCACGGGTTCGGGCGGGGTCGGCAGGGTCGACTGGGCGCCTGCACCTGACGGTCGAATCTGCACCCAGACCTCCGACGAGCGGTATCTCTCAGGCTCTGAAGGTGAGTTTGCTGCCGCGCCGTGCGATAACATTAAGATCAACTTGGGATCGTTTTTGAAGTTCATTAAAATTCAGTGAACACAAGGACGTCAGCAGGCTTCTTATTTGGCTCATTGAAGGTGAGTGTGAAATTGACCTAGAATGACCTCGATCAGCCATGTGCTTGAAGAACACAGCCCTAGTGTATTTCTTGGCGCTGGTTTTAAATTCAAATACTAAGATAATGTCGCAGGTTTTTAAGCCATTTTTACCTGTAGAAGTCAGACAAGGTCACTGACCTGGTATGACCCCGATGGACCTTTTGCTTGGAAAATGTATCTAGGTTAGCGCCGGTTGCATGTGGAGATCCGTGGGCACAACGGACACTGGTGTCAAGCCTGACCTTATTCGACCTTACTTGACCCATGCACCACTACACAGAGACCTAATTGTGAACACCAATGAGCTTGCATAGGGCCTTAACTGCGTTGTGAATTTCGTGTATATATCTCCCACAGTTTTGATTCTCGGGGGGCCAAGCCGCCCACACCCCCACCCACCACTCGTACACGTTTGTATACAGCTGGCCACCGAGTTTTACGTTTAGACAGTCGTGTTGCGATAAGGATGATAGCAGGATGTAAACATACACGCAGTTGAATCGGGAAATAATACGTACGAGATAACGCATGTCGACCCTGGACCTCAACACTGGCACGCGCATGGCTGGTCTGGTGGTACCACGTTGGTGACACCGAGCTGGCCTCTAAGTACACGGTATCCCGCATGGGGTATGTCTTTCGAGCTGCGCACAGCGGGTTATGGCTCCCACCACAGCCGTAGCAACTCTTTGTGGTCTGCGGGACGACCGTCACGGTCTGCGTAACGACCCGTTGTGGTTTGCGTAACGAACCGTTGTGGTTTGCGTACCGACCCGTTGTGGTTTGTATAACGACCTGTTGTGGTCTACGTAACGACCCTTCGTGGTCTTCGTAACGACCTGTCGTGGTTTGCTTAACGAGCCGTCGTGGTCTGCGTATCGACGTTTCGTGATCTACGTAACGACCATTCCGGTCTGCGTGACGACCCGCCGTGTTCCACGTAACGACCATTTGTGGTCTGCGTAACGACCCGTCGTGGTCTGCGTAACAGCCCGTGGTAATCTGCGCAACGACCCCTCGTGGTCTGCGTGCGGCCATTCTTGGTCTGCATAACGACCCATCATGTCTGCGTAACGACCCCCGTGGTCTACGTAACGACCCACCATGGTCTTCGTTACGAACCGTCGTGGTTGCGCAACGACCCGCCATGTTTGCGTGACGGCCCGCCGTGGTCTACGTAACGACCCGCCGTGGTCTGCGTAACGACCCGCCGTGGTCTGCGTAGCGACCCCCGTGGTCTGCGTACGACCCGTCGTGGTCTACGTAACAACCCTCCATGGTTTGCGTAGCGACCGTCATTGTCTGCATAACGGGCCGCGAGCTGCGAATTGGTTTTCTTTTTGCATATATCACAATTGTATGCGATGCATCCCCTCCAAAACACCCGCTTTTGATTGTGTTGAGCAGACGCTTCATAACTTCTGCCGAATTACTGGCGCGCCATTCGGGCCGCCGTTTTATTATCAGCTGTGAATAGCGCGCGCTCCCCCGTCCTGCCGCCTTGTGAACGGCTGCAGCTCCCGGGGCCGCTGTGGCTGGAGGCCTGCTCGCCCCAGGAGGACAGTACTGATGGCTGTCCAGCCGGGGAGCCGTCACTAAGCGCCGCTCTCCCCCACCAGCGGTGGAGGTGAAGAGGGGCCCCGGCCCGCCTCGGCGACCACGCGTTCCTACGGGCGCCCTCTAATGGAGCGAGGCGCCAGGCAGGCGGCCCTGATTAACGCGAACCGGTGACGTCCACGGGGACCGCCGAGAGGGGGGCGAGCGGCGTACGGCGCCAGCGTCGCACGCGACATTAAAACCCCAGACGCGTAACGAGAACGGGGTCGGAGATGGCATGCGTGGCACTTCGGCGCGGCTGGTCGATGCGACATGCCTCGAGACGGATGGGCTTAGTAGCGGCGGTCGAGGAGGGGAAGGACACTAGGATGTCGTGGTAAGCGGCTCCTATGGCAACGACCGCTCGACCGTCTGGAGGTTGAGCACGCGCTGTACACAGAACTTCCGAACGACGTTTGCGCCAACGGGGCGGAGAGAACAGGCACGTCCGCTTTTACACGCAGCGTGTTTTGGTCGCTTGCACCGGACCGGCTGATGCAGGGTTCCGTGGTCTATCTGGATTTTGGATTTGACCTGGGTTTGTCGAGGGGTTGTGTCGCGTGAAAGTGTTCCATGTGAGGTTAACAAGCATTACAATGAACTTCTTCGGGGCTGGGCAAGTTCTTCACGTTAACTGATCACAACTATTGTAGGTCAGGGCCCTTCTACCCACACTGTGGAGCAGGTTTGTGTCGTTCGATCGAAGCGTACCGCCTGAAATTTTCAACAAAATGTACAAAAGGTTTCATAAGATATGCTGCCATATTTTCCAGCTTCCGCATCGAGCTAGTTGGCTTAGGCAGGAGGTTGCTGCATTATTGCAACATCACCACAGTGCCCGCACCTCCCTCCCCGCTCGATGAACAGCAAGCGGACCAAAGCTTAGAACATCCAACGTACGGGAACGGTGAGGCGACACAGGCGGAGGCCGCTGGATCCCACATCGCCAGCATGGCAGCTGGATGAAACACAGAACGGAACAACGCTGACAGGAACGGAGAGCGGCAACAGCACTGGCAAACGCGTGGGTTCAGTGTGCAGACGATCACACGCTCTGGGGCGTAAACCATGGGTCCGGCCGTCTTCGAGCGGTCCGAGGATTAGTGTTGTGGTCCCGAGTACAAATAGAGGTGAAGCCAACTGCGCGGCGCAGGGTAATGTACCGGCTACAAGCCTTAGGCAATCTCAGCATTGATAAAACAGTAGTATTGGCCTTATTCCTCGGAGAAAAACCAGGAGAATGGAGATATAGTTGGGTCTGATGCTACTGTCTTATCTATGCGAATAATGTTCTCGCTAATGCACTGAGCAACTTACGTAATCTGAGCACTGCTGAGCCCGGGGAAGCGCAAGGAGTAGACCGGAAAGCGATCATTGTCATGCGCCTTGAAACTGACCTTGGATACAACCCAGTGACCTAAACAGAGAGTGATCGGGCCATGTGCGTAGTGCATAGCGATACAGGTCAGTTATATCGCCATCTGTGTCCATGCAAAGTAATTTGCGCTTGTTGCGAATTTTCAGTAACCGAAGAAGTGAACTGTTTCGAATTCCTACATTTCCTTGCTTTAAGTCGTTGTGGCGATGCCACGCAGAAAGGCAGACAATTTTAAAGCGCCGTCTTTAAGCTTATTCGTCGACGCCCGATCACCATGAGGCGCTACGTCCGCCAGACACATGCAAGAGGGATGTTCCAATCACTGCTAATGCCAATTGCATGGTGTCGGTTGCGGGCTCTGTTCGTTTGCGCCTTGATACCATCTGCATGATGATGACGTCTCACGTCCGCTACCACCCCCGCTCGTCCTTCGCCGCCAAGTACAGCACGGCGCAGCTTCGGTCACGGCTAGTCGGCTCTGCATCGATGCGACTTACTAGGTAATCATTATAACACGTTATGAGATATTCTGTGCTAATCCATCCAACCCATCCCTTCTACAGCCTCGTGCATGTAGACCTGTGTAGCTCACCAATGCGCACACCGCTGTACGAGCCGTGTTCCAGAGCGATACATTTTAGGACTGGCACCAGAGAACTAATGGAGCGGACAGCCGGCCAAACTTGGGATTCACGTGACAGCGACTAGTCCAGGAGGTTCCGTGTCCGTCACGCTTCAGCGACTGTGATGACTGGCTGGGCTGGCTGGCTGCTGGCTGTGGCTGGCTGGCTGATGGCTGGCTGGCTGGCTGGCTGGCTGCGGCGACGTCACGCTGAATACCCTGTAAGACGTTTTAAATGGCCTCGCTAGGCTTCCTCTCGGCCGTCTTCAGTGGCGCCACAGCAGGCGCAGTGCCCTTCCGCCCGAGTTTCACTGACATTGAGAGGCTTCCCATGCCGTCGTTACGAGGCCGAGCCGAGACCGGCCCGCTGGAGGAGCCTGCTGGGTGACGCCGCACCCCTTCAGTGCGGCCTCCAGCAGCAGCGGCGCTCAGTCTTCGCCGGCTGATGGCCTCGCCCGCGTTCGAACCGCCCGACCGAGTGGTGGCGAGCGAAGTCAGGGAAAAGACGCCACTAATCGTGTGATCTGTGCGATAGTTTTGCCACCTGGCAGATCCTGTGGTGTATTCTGGGAGTCAGAATCAATAAACGAATGGAACGAGGAGCCGATCGGACACTGTTGGGCCGTGTTGCCGTTGGCAGCTTTCAGTTTTTTGACGTGGAACCAGTCGCCTCCGGCCATAATCTGCTCACGTGCGTCTGATGATGGCGGCAGGTGCCTGGCGCAGGTTGTCTGACTCCCTCTCGGCGGTCGCTCGGCGCGTGAGGGACGAGATCGCTCGGCACCCGGCCATTTGGACCTGCCGCTGCTGCGCCGTATTGATTGAATCCGGCGTCCGGGGCGATCTGTTTGATGCGGAGATGCGTTCAGTTGGACAGCCCCCCCCCCCCCCCGATGATCGCGGCTGGGGAGCTGCCAGATGCGCCAGCGGTCCGACCGTAGCAGAGGGCGGCTACCAGAGGGACCTCGACCGCTAACGCATCGGCCGGCTGCCAGAT